AGCTTAGTTTCTCAATTAAATTCTTGTAGTTATCATCCTCTTCACCTTCAATCTCTTAATCTTCTTCCCTATTTTTTGATGTTTCATCTTTCAAGTCCTGATTCGGGCTTGAGTCCCCAATCCGATAGCAGTCGCTTCAACCCTAATTAACGCGAATCATTCTTGTGGATATCAGGAGGAATAATGCTGGATTTTGAGAAAATTTGTGGCTTAACGAAGTAATTTGCTCTCTCGAGCCGGATGGCGTATGATGCTTTCGTTGTGCTCACAACTAAGTGACCGATAATCGATCCCGTTAGTCGGAGTGATGAAGATCTAAAATTTGTGATCACAATCTCTAAGCTTATAGCATCTTCTTTCAAAGTTACAATGTGTTTGATTTTAATTTTTTCTTCTATATTGCTACTAATCAGTTCTGCCTAAGAACATTAGGGCAATTTCAGTTCATTCATACAGAGGAACGGAAAAGAGATATCGTGAATTGAGTATTCACCTGAATTGTTTGGACTTCCTCCAACATTGCAAAGATTCCAGATAGTGGGAGACCATGAAATCCCTTCATTTTGCTTATCGTGAACTTTCTCCGAGGTTTGTGAGGGAAGTGTCATGGCCGCTAAATTCTGTTTCGAGGTAATCGACATTGATAGGTGGGTGTGGAATCGAAGCAGCTCTTGGCAACTAGAAATTTCTGGTGGAGGCGTTGAAGTTATGGTGAGGTGGAATGAGATTAAAGGTGATTTTGGTGATGAAGTTTGTTGAAGGTTGAAGATGGATGATGTTGGATGAGAAGATGTACGAGAGAGAGAGAGAGAGAGAGAGAGAGAGAGAGAGAGAGAGAGATAGAGAGAGAGAGAAGAGAGAAGAGAGAGAGAGAGAGATATTTTATTTTTATTTTTTATTTTTTTAAATCTAAAATCAGAAAAATAAAAACAAATAAGAGAGAGAGAGACTGATTTATTTTTATTTAATTTTTATTTTTTATTTTTTTAAATATAAAATCAGAAAAACAAATACGAAAAAAAGAAAATCATATTAACAGGGGCAAATCCGTCATTTTGAAAAAAATCATAACAGATTGGACCAAACAAACAACAAAATGAAAACTTTTGACCTCTGATGCTAGTCCAAACCTTTTTGGACCAAAATGACAATTTTAAGCAAACCACAGGGACCATTTGTGCAGTTTTGTCTTCTTTTTAGTTTAATGCTTTCATCCGTTTTATAAAATCTAGAAACAACACAGATGAAACTTAACCTTGTTATGTTTTTTGGAAAACGAAAAATATTATAAAAACCACATCAAGGAGATGTGGAGAACAAACTAACCGTACAAAAAGAAAATGAAAAAACAAACGAAGAACATAGGAAAATTGAAAAAAAATTACAAACAAAGGAAAGGACTAATATTCCAAACTCTCCAATCCATTTTTTTGAATGAACCTCTATGCTTGTACCATATGAATGTTGTTGCTTTTATTCTTTCCACCGTGTTCGCCGAGACTATTGGAATTTTTTCAAAAATCCTTTTGTTCCTATCCATCCATATGAACCATAAAGCTCCACTTAATATTGCATTGAGCATTCTTCTTTTATATTTACACTTCGACCACCGTGAGATGAAAAGGAGCATATTTTCCACCGAAAGAAATCTGTCACATCTAATCTCGCACCACACCAGTATCGAATCCATTATTTCCATCGCCACAGGACAAGTTAACAAAATGTGCTCGCATGTCTCCTCCTCTGAACTGCATGCGCCACACATAGTCTTTGGAATTATGATACCCCTGTTTTTTAATTCCACAGCAGATGGAATTCTACCAAGTTTTGCTCTCCAGATGAAACATAGAATCTTAAAGGGAATCAACTTATCCCAAGTAAATGGTCCATCGTTGACGATATATCCCGCTAATTCAATTCGCTCCCATAGCAGACAGACCATAAACCTTCCATCACTCACAAAGTCAGATTCCCAACAACGATCTGTTGAATTCCACGACACAATTTCCTTCGGATCAATGTTATATTGCATATAGCGATTTCGTGTTTTTATAATATTTTTCCACACCCCAGTTTTGGATCTGTTAGCGAAAACATACCAGTGCCTCCCTTCTAGATTATGGATACTTCGAATTACTTTGGACCACATAGAGGATTCATCCGCTTTCAAGCGCCACATCCATTTGGCTAACAAAGAAATATTCATAGCTTTAATAAACCCAAGCCCGATGCCTCCAACCTTTTTTGGTGCTATAATCTTATCCCATTTGACCCAATAAATACTTTTTTTGTTATACTCTCTACACCAAATGAATTTCCTCCTAATTTTTTGAAGTGTGTCAAGAACACCATTTGGGATTACAAATATAGACATAAAATATGTTGGGAGATTACCCAACACCGCCTTTGAAAGTGTTACTCTACCACCAAAGCTCAATGCTTTTGCTTTCCACGTAGACAACTTGGAGTGGAACTTTTCAATGATCGGCCTCCATGCATTCTTTTTATTCATATTCTCACCAACAGAAATACCCAAGTAAGTAAACGGAATCGACGATGGTTCACATCCAAGAGGGGCAGACCAATTCGAAATTTCCATAAGGGGAGCACCCACACCAAACACTTTTGACTTTTTGAAATTTACTTTCAATCCAGACGAGATGTGAAAGCATCGTAAGATCCTTGCTAAATTAGCTATGTTTCTCATAGACCATTCTCTAATGAACAATGCATCATCTGCATAAAATAAGTGTGACACACACATATTAGAATTTGGGAATTTTATCCCGTTGAACACACCTTTCTCCACTGCCGTCTTCATGGCCAAATTTAATCCTTCCATTGCAATAATAAAAAGGAAGGGGGATAATGGGTCCCCCTGCCTTACACCCTTAGACATAGGGAATTCCTTTGTAGGGCTTCCATTGATGATCACCGAAGCTCTTACGGATTCTAAGCAGTTACGAATCCAAAGCCGCCATCTCATCCCGAAATTCATTTACTCCATGATAGAATCAAGGAAGGTCCAATTAACCGAGTCAAAGGCTTTTTTAAAACCCGCCTTAAATAGGAGCATCTTTCTTCCTCTAGCCTTTGCCCAGGAGCACAATTCATTTACAATCATTGGGCCTTCAAGAATATTCCGACCTTCCACGTATGCGGATTGAATTTCATCAGTGACGTGCCCAATGACCAATTTGAGTATAAGAGCCAGCAACTTAGCAATTATTTTATATATTGATCCTATCAGACTTATTGGTCTAAAATCACTAAAGTGAATCGGATCCTTAGACTTAGCTGCGAGAGAAATAAATGAAGAGTTGCATCCTCTTGATAGTTTACCACCACCTTCAAAGAACTTTACTAACGCCAATACATCATCTTTCAGCTGCTCCCAGTATTTTTAAAAAAAATTAAAAGTGAAACCATCCGGCCCCGGGGATTTTTCCCCACCACATGACCATACTGCCGCTTTTATTTCTTCCAAGGTAAATTCCTGTTCAAGGAGACGAGCATCCAAGTCCGAGAGTTTACGAAAACCAGTGTTCCGGAATAATGGTCTATTTGGCCATTTTTCCTTGAACTTGTCTTCAAAGAATTTTTTCGCCTCCAGTTTGATTTCGACCGGATTAGTCGTCCAGATCCCACCAGCCATGATACGATGTATATGATTTTTCCTGTTTCTGTTGTTGACGTAACCATGGAAGAATCGAGTATTTTCATCTCCTTCTATCTCCCATTTGAGTTTTGATATTTGTTTTAGATTTGAAGCCATTACTCTTGCATGGTTCACAATCTTAACCCCCCCCTCCATTAGTTCTTTCCTCCGCTTCCATTGTCGTTAAGGGTCTAGATTTCACTGCCATTTCAATTTCAACCAATCTTTTTTTCAATATCTCAATTTCAGCATTCTCCAATTTTACTGTGTTTGCCTTCCAGCATCTAATGGAAATTTTTAATTGTTTTAATTTGTTCAGCAAGCGCATATCTGGTGTGCCATAGCCCACAAATTCCGAACACACTTTCATAATTATCACGTCAAAACCGTCTTTTAACATCCAAGAGTTAAGCAACTTAAAAGGAGGGGGACCAAAGTCATCACACCGTGCTCTAAGAATAACTGGAGAGTGGTCTGAAATATCTCTATCCAATGCAAAACAGGAGGCCTGGGGAAAGATGGATAGGAAGTTATTACAAACCAAGAAACGATCTAACTTACTTAACTTTGTGCCATGAAGTTTGAAGTATGTGAATCGTTGACCACCCATCTTCAAATAAGTGAGTTCTCTGTTTCGAATAAATTGATTAAAAGCAGTGGCACTACGATGACAGAAAACTGAGTTGATACGCTCTTCAGGACGGCGTACAACATTAAAGTCTCCCATAACTTAACCTTGTTATGGTTTAAGTATCTAAACACACACTAAACACACAAAATAGCCCAAATCTACCTAATTTATTTTCATGTGATTGACTAATCATTACCATTTCGAATGAATGGACATGTCCATTACACATTACTTCGTAATTCCGTAATTGAATTTTCGCACACAGGTGTCTAGCACACCTTTCACATTTTAACGATCAAAAAACGAAATAAAATACCACCCAAAATTTGGTCTCAAAAACCCACAATATATTGATTATACAAATAAGAAATAACACTAGAAATACTGATCAAAATAACAAACCATTACAGATATCAATGAAGCAACTAGTTCTTATGACCAACATTATCGATCGCACTTCACTGGGATCCTTCTGACATGATCCAAAATCTTTAAAAGACATTTTCACCACATACACTCTCCACTTATGTTCTTCAAGAACCGTGGACCTGAATCGTCTTCGCCTTCTTGGGCTCTGGCAGCGGCAGTTTCTCCACCGTCACTGTAAGCACTCCATCTTGACAAATCGCAGATATCTTCTCCAAATTGGCATTTTCGGCAACGCAAATTTCCTCATGAACTTCCCGATCCTCCTCTCCATCCTCACATACTTTACTCCTTCCTCACCAACACGTTGTCTTCCTCCACCTGGACCTTGATATCTCCGGACTTCAGACCAGGCATGTCGACGATGAAGACGTAAGAGTTAGGATACACCTTCACATCAGCCGGAGTTGCAGCCATTGCTCTGGCGTCACGTACGTTAGCACCAGTAGGTCCGGCGTTGCTGGATTTGTTGTTGGTGGTGGTGTCGTCAGTGGCTTCAATGATATGGTGGAGGTTGCGGAAGAACGTAATGTCGAAACCATCAGACTGATATCCATTTCGAACTTTGTTAATGATGTTTTCCCAAAATTGAAGCAAGGTTGGAAGATACCAATAAGAATTGAGATATTTTGTGATTGCAGGGTGATGAATCGAGCACTGTGATGTTGGATTTATAGGGTAGAGAGAGAGAGGTGAGAGAGGAGGAAGAAGAAGAGGTTTCTGGAAAGAACGGAACAGAGGAAAAGAAAACGAGGAGGTTCTGGTAGCTTCTTTCGACATCTGGAAGACATGGGCCATCTTCAAAGCACGGAGGATTTTTAGTCCATTAAGTCATTGACAAGGACTAGATATGAAATTATGAGTTTAGATCTATAAGGATTAAGCTTTTAATGAAGAATATGACATTCTGCCAGGGACCAGGACATGGCTATGGGCTTGCCACGACGTGGTGATGTCCTGCATGTTGATTATTTTGGCCTGACATGCCCATGACATGCCCAAGAGATCTCCATGTCGTAGTGAGCATCGACTTTGTTAACTATTGATTTTTTTTTTACCGTTGATCGTTGGCTTTTGACCAATTTGACTTTGGGTCAATATTGAAGGACTTGGGTTATTGATTAAGGATTCGTCTTCACATGGTTCTAGTCGGTTTGCGGGAGTGATCAGATCAGGGAATGAGGGTCTTTCTGTCTTTCCTTGGGTCTTCGATCCAGGTGAGTTTCCTCAATATACTATGTGTTACAACATATATCCTTGTATGATTGGATATTGGAGTAGTGGTACGCTGGTGAGAGTACCAGGAGGTCGGTGATCATCTAGTTGAGTGCCTAGGGGTTCTATGTAGTCTTATAGGATAGCCTGAGAACTCTTGATCTAGGATTTCTTGCATGTTCCTTTTTTGTTTGTGGCTCTAGAATGGGGTCACTTATTCGACTGTCTATCTCACCTCTAATTACATATAGATATGACTTTTTAGTGATTTGTCTATCGTGATGCATAGTAATGTATATGAGGCCCTTAATACGGTAATGAGTTGTTAGACAGGTAGACTAGTATATATAGTTGTTTGTGTTTATGTTCTTGTTTGATTTATATGTCAACATATCTGGTGGTGGGTTGAGGCGGTCATGCTTTATGCAGTAGGCCAAGATACCCGGGAGGGCTAGCAGTGTGTTGTAGGCCTGATGCGGACCAACTGTATGATGTGGGAGGCGGTTCGGTCATGTATTGGAGACCCATGAGAGTGGCCCAGGTGTACTGTAGGCCTTGCGAGGTGGTCCAGTTAGACTGCAGGCTCGTGTGTGCATGCATTGTATGTATATTGTGGTGTGTGGTATTTTGGGGGAACTCATTAAGCTTTGGCTTACAGTTGTAAATTAAATGTTTTCTGGTACCATTGGAGATTGTGGGAAGGAGGAGACGTGACTGTACAGACTCATTAGCAGCATTAGAGTTCCACATTTATATCATAATAGTATGTTTTCCAATTAATTGTATTTTAACAAATGAGTATTCTTAACTTGGGTTTTTATGATAATGGTGTTTTACCTTAATTAAAAATAAAAAAATTGTTTGTGAAAATGGGACGTTACAGTAAAACAAGCGGCTTTATAGGAAGGGAGGAGGCAAACGAAGATACATTAAATTGTTGGCAATTCGATGTCTTGGAAAGCATATCAACACCGTTGCATCCCATACCTCATTAGAGGCCATGGATATTCAATTGTACATTTTACTCTTAGTTTAAAACTTTTGTGCATTACATGTATTGTAAATTATCCATGCAAGAGTAAGAACACTTATGTAATTGAGAACGCAAGAACAAATTGGGCCACATATTTTTTTGCCGCAAAACCCTCCCGCATACTAATGTGATGGAGGAATGTAATATTCATATGTTAATAATCATTTGAAAATAGTCATATATTTATTCATATATGAATATACTTATTTATATTAATATATTAATATATTAATATATACTTATTAATATATGAATATTATCTGTTCCGTCGTCCCGATACGTTGGAACGCTTAAGCACCATATTTGAAATATGCGAGAATTTACTTACCTTTATATTCACATGTGAATATTACACTCCTCCGTTGCACCGGTACGCTTTGCGGCAAAAGAAAATATGTGACCCAAATTTGTTCTCGCGTTCTCAATTTCATAATCGTTCTCATTTGAACCTTTCTTTCTTTCTTTCTTTCTCTCTCTCTCTCTCTCTCTCTATATATATATATATATATATATATATATATATATATATATATATATATATATATATATATTAAGTTTTAGTTTAACTTTGGTTTTTAAGACGTTGGGACATTCATGTTCCACAAGCTTTTATTTTGAAAATACGCTTTTAAATTAGTTAAAAGATTTGACACGTACGGGGTGTTTTATGTCGTGTTTTGCAACTTTGGTTCTTAAGACGTTGGAACCTTTATGTTCCGCAAGCTTTTATGTTGTGTGTTGCGAAGAGTTGTGTTCACCAACGGGCAACTGTATGCCACTTTACCTAGAATAACAAGCAAATAAGGAATAAATATAGTAATCATGGATTAAAAAAGACAAATTATAAAACACGAACTAATGTTGTCTATGTAGAAGTGCTTCAGGATTTGTAAATACCCTACTAATAATCAAGCCTGCATTGATGATGTTTGAGTATAATCTAAAGAGTAAGGTGCTTTGTGTTTTTAGATTTTTTTTTCTTGGCTTATGTAATGTCCAACGTTTTGTAGTGGTTGTTTTACTATTATATAATACGGAGATCGGTATGTGTAGTTGTTAGGTGATTTTAATACCTTTGTTATGTATATAAATGGTAGAATTATTTATAAAATCAATATCCTCGTGTCTGTGTTTATACATGTTTATACATGCGTAACTATCATCTAGTTTCATGTATGCCATGTCTTTCATATATGTATATAAAACCTGGAAATTAAGTGTTTCTTTTTAACATAAGTAGTTTTCCAGATATCACTTTAATGGAAAAACAAATTGTTGGATTAAGTGTCTAAACCCATAACTATAATTGGTATATACTTGAATTGATAGTATCATAGTCCTTTTGGGTTGCCCTCGAAACTAGCAACTGGACATGATGATTTTTGGAGAGAAATGTTGATTTATTATTTGATTAATAAATTGAAATAAATAGTTTATTAATTAATTATGAGAATAATATATTATTAGAAATAGTAATATTTAATTAATATTTAATCATAAATTAATTGGAATTAATTTTGGGATTAAAAGAGTTAATTAAAAGTGTAGGGTCTAAAGTGCAATTGTTCAATAATCGAACAAAAGGTTCCAGAACCTTCTTATAGAAGGTTGGACGGTTTTAATAGGATAATTCGAGGGTTTCTAGAATTATCACACGTGGAAAATATGAAGTTGAATAATTACCAATTAGAAATATTAGTATTATATTCAAATTAGGGTTATCCAGGGCTTCCTTGTTGCACTATAAAAGGACCTTCACCCCTAGGAATTTCGGCCACTCATACTCTTAGAGAGATAACAGAAATTCTAAGCCTCCCCTCTACTCTCTCCATATTCATCATCTTGCTAGTGTTGGGTGTGAACCACTAGAGGCACAACATTTGTGGTGCTTGCTTCCAAAGCTTCAACAACACGAGGATCATTGTTATTTGCTTCAATAACAATGAAGGTATGTATTTCTTAACCCTAAGTTGGTATTTTCGAAAATATAATAGGGTTCTTAGGGTTTCCTTTTGATGTTCACAGTTATAGGTTCAATAGAGAAAACATAGATCTTTTTTAGGGTTGCATGCACACTTAAGAGTTTAAGTTGTTTTTTGTTTTGCATAAAACCCATCACAAACATCTACCCCAAGTTCTTTGAACTACCATGATACAACCCAGGCAAGAAGATTTGGTCAGGTTTAACAAAGGCATGGCAGGAATAACTCAACTTTAGGATAATTTTGATTATTTATGTTTAGTCTTTATCCTTTTATGTTAGTATTTATCTTTCCTAGGATATTTTCAATATATGTTATAGAATTGGAGTCAGATTAGGTTTGGTTGTTATGTTAGCATGAAACTATAAATAGTGATCCATAGGATCTTGTTTGATTTTTATCGAATTAATAAAAAGCATGAGGTATTAGGAGTATTCCCGTGACTCGAATAAAAGGCAGGGATCTTGGGTTTACCTGAGATCTTATTATTTGGTATCAGAGCTTAACGGTTCTGATGACAGAAAAATTGGAGGGGAAGGGCACCAATGTTGAACAGCTTGCTGCGATTGAGGGTGTCGTCAACTAGGTGCTCGATGCATCTGAGGCTCATTGGTTGGAAGTGGCAACACAGATGGAGGTGCTCACCAAAGCTGTTTCAGAGTTGACTGAAGTGATCAAGGGACCAAGAAAGAAACACAAGAAATCCTCCCATGGTTCCTTTTCCGATTAAGGAGAGAGTGATGGTGAAGATGACGAAGAGTCTGACGACTCGGACGACAGTGTTGACACCAACGACTCGAAGCGAGCCAAGAAAAAGAAGAAAAAGCGGGATCCTTTGCTTGATTTCCGGAAATTGAGTATTCCTGTGTTCAATGGCATAGATGTTCACGAGTGGGTTTACAAGGTTGAAAGTGTAACACCCAAAAGCAGGTATGACCTCTTAGCCCTTGAAGTATCTTGATATTGGCATAAGAGACCCTTAAGTACGCTGGGCGTACTTAAGAGTACGCTTAGCGTACTTGGTGAGGAGGAACGCGGAGGAGCAGCACGTATGCTGGGAGTACCAGGAGTACGCCGGGCGTACGTGCCAGCTTGTTCAAACCCTAAAAATAGGACTTGGGCCCTATATAAACATCCTTAACTCCTTTGGACCTCATCTTTATCAGCCTCCTTCACCTTCAAACGTCCCTAAAAACCCTAATATCAATTGTGAGTGTAGCTTGAGCTTAAGAGTGCTTTGGTGGTTCTTTTAGTGTTCATCCAAGAAGAAGAAGTTGCCAAGGAAGCTAGGAGTGTCATTTGGCTGCAAGGATCTGACCATTTTCGACCTTGAGGAGATTCTGGAGGTAAAAAGCTTGGACCTTTCCTCCTTAATCTCTAGTTCTAGCTTGGGTTTTCTAGTTTGTCCCCTTTTGGTTGAGTTTGAACCTCCTTTGTGAGTTAAGCAACTACAGGAGATGGGAAAGACAGATCTGAGGTCCTTTGGTCCTATAGTATCATAAAAATGGAAGCTTGATGGGAGATTTGGCCTCATGCATGGGTTAGAGACA